AGACATGCAACATGTTTGTTTTCTCCATATCCTGAATTATCTGACTTCACTTTGAGTAACAAATCAAAATTAGGATCTAATACTTACAGACTTGGGATGTTAGACATGCTCCTTCATGTGGATCTTAACTGTTTCATCATCTGCAAAATGAAAATCATAATAATACCTACCTCACAGGAGGTCATGAGTATCAAATAAGGTACTTGAGGCCATGTTTCAGGCATATAAGAGGATTTCCTCCCCCCACACAGCTCCTCTAGTTCAAACATTCTCAGTGGGAGTGATATGACCCTCAAGGTGGTGAAAATTGGTTCCTGGGGGACAAAACAAATCTTACTTTTTTATGTAAAGCACAAATACATAAAATATGTAAACAGATATACAGTATTTTCTGTGGTTTTAAAGTTTCATGGGGAGACTAGGAAAACATGTCTAAAAAGGTACCTGAGGTAGGAGGATGGGGGCGATAGCGGGAAAGAGGTCATCACTCTCCAGTAGATGCCCTGGAGAGAATGTGTCCATAAAACCATTACTGGGGGCGACCGGTTAGCTGAGTTGGTTAGAGCGTGGTGCTAACACCAAGGTTGCCGGTTCGATCCCTGCATGGGCCACTGGGAGTCAACTATGCCATTGTAGCATGAAAGCAATGTGTAACCAATGACCATGGCTGTTCCCCAATAAAAAAAATTAAAAAAAAACATTACTGGAATTTGCATACTTCTGAGGAGCCAGGTGCCAGCAGCTAGTCAACCCTCTCCACCATTTTCTTAACCCCATAGGTGAGGTTTCTAATTTTGTCTCCAGGGAATGCTATATTATTTATTTTATAAGCCGCCTCCACTTTGGGGGGAACACAACTATGTTATCAAGCTCCAAATCCACCAAATATAAGAAAAGTAGAAAGATTAATGACTGTACTTGGGTCTGAATTCCATAGAGTGCCCCTTTGGCACAGTTTGAATAACAGTAACAGTCTTTTTAATTTTCTGGTTAGGCCCCTGTGTGGATTAAAATATGGCTTAACACCAGGGTGCATCACTTTGGCACATTCTGTTCATCGCACATTACAAAATGGTTGAAATAAGAATTTCCTCTAAACAAAGCATGGCCTGCATTTGTGATTTTCAAAACCACCTTGGGCACAATATTGAATCCTGTTAGAGGGAGAAAAAGCATTTGAAGGTAGAATTGCTACCCTTTCTGGCTCTTACTAACAAACTGCAAGGGGAAATTCAGAAGTTGGTTTTGGGATAAATAAATAAACTCATGTGTAGTTTGCTATTTACATTCAGTAGACAATACCCCCATGGTGCTGGTGCCAGATGATAACAAATGATTTTTACACTCAGGAATCTGAATCACAGACCTGCATTAGAATTTCATGTCATGGCTGTAGGAACATCTGTATAAGAAAATATGAAAGGACAGCACAGTCCCATATGAAAACCATCTGCCAATAAATCCGCTTTGGATGGGCTACTAAAAATGGACACATCCAGCATAAAAGATGTGTGTGTCTATTACATAGGCTTGCATTGTGAAGGATGGCAAGTTTCCACTGGTACCCTGAGATAAGAAACAGCTGTTGTTGGCGTCGGCACTCTTGCAAGAAATGAAATGATAATTCTGGGACACACTTATGAGAATTACCATACATTTGATCAACTTTAAATATATGCAAGACCAGAATTATCTGGCAGCCCCCAACAAAATTGCCAACAACCCTGTAACAATCTCTTGAGAAGGAACCTTGAATCCAATCGCACAGAACCATCATCCAATTGTGTGTTATTTCTAAAGTGAGTTCCAATGTGTGCGTCTGTGGTGGTGACGAAGCAGGGGAGGAATTGGAGAAGGACTTTTTTTTTTGCATCGAGGACATTTTTAGTATAAAATTTCAGGGTTTCAAATGATGACTGCAAAGCAGTTATTTAGGTGCATTTATAAACTGTGAGTCAAAGGGCAAACATCTTTCAGCACAAAAAATTCATTGAATCTCACCATTGGATCTATTGGACAGCTACACATAAGGACAAAAGGCTCTTTTAAAAATTAACAATTTTTATGTACAATTTATATACTCTATAAAAAATTAAGAACTCCAATTATCAAAGCTTAGAATTTCATATTGTTCTGGCACTTATAATTTTTTAAGAATATTCTTTTGAAATCTTTTCAACTATTTACTTCAAGCATATTCTGATTATGCTGCTCTGGCATTTCATTGGATTATTTTTCCTTTTCATGTTTAATCATGCAAAGTCAACCATAAGTACTTGATGTAGGTCTAGCCATTAGCTCAGCAAGGCACCACTGTTTTTCCTCTGTCTCTTGCTAGATTTTCTGCTTTAAGATTGTTCTTTTCAGGCAGACAGCCCCTGAGCCCGGCCAGGCAAGCAGTAGACCTCTCAAGCGTACTTCTTTCTGAGAGATGCCTAGGAATAATGTAGGAAATCCGAAATGACTCTTCTGCTACCAGAACATACTCAGCATCCTTTGAGTCAGAAAGGCTTTCTGGACCATTAGAATAATAAGAGACTGGAAAAGGATAATGAGAGAAATTGTAGGGCCCACCCCATAGAGACCTTTAAGAAAAGAATAGCCATTGTTTTCTCAGGTTGGGCATTCATAGGCTTGGCAATACCGCCAGTGAAGGCTGGCCCAAAGGCTCTCTGGAGTTCTCGCCTTCGCCTTCTTTTTATGATGCTGTGATGTTGTTTAGCTTTTGAAAAAAAATGAGGTATAACTGACATACATTATATTAGTTTCAGGTGTACAAGATAATGATTCAATATGTGTATATATTGCAAAATGATCCCCACAATACGTCTAGTTAACATTGTCACCATTATGATGCTGTGATTTTTTTTAAAGATTTTATTGGGGAATTGGGGAAGGGGAACAGACAAGTTGCTGTCCTTTTGTTCTTCAGTCTAGTTGTGGAGGATGTCGCTTCACTGGCCCATGTTGGTATTATCATTGTGCTCCTTCCAGGTGAGGCAGATCGGTCGCCGGCTTCTGGACGGCCGCTCACGGTGGCTCTTGGCAGCTCATGCCGGCTGCTGGCCACTCACAGTAGCTTATGGCAGCCCACTGCAGCCTCACTGCAGCCTACACCATCACCGGCAACTCACGGCAGCCCACCTCCAGGTCGAGCTGTTGTTCACCATCTTAGCTGTAGAGGGCGCAGCGTCACTGGCCCTCATGTGGGATCCAACCCTGGACCCTGCTGCTCAGAGCTGGCGTCCCAAGCCAACTCTTAACCAACGAGCCACGAGCCACTTGGGGGGCCCATGATGCTGTGATTTTAAGAAGAGTGTGCACTGAGCAGCCAGGAGCTCTGATTTGTGGTTCTCCACCATGTTTCCTGCTAGAGAGAGCTTGGGTTTTCAGGTTTCCATACCATCAGACTCTGTACACGTAGGTCAGAGAGTCCAGCCAAAGTTCTCAAATCTGGCCTTAATTTGCTCTGTGAGCTAATCTGGAGAAGAGGAGACTCGGGCAGAGAAGAAGAAAGGCAGAAAGAGGGGAGAGAAATAGAAAAAGGATGGAGAGAGATTTAAGGCAAGGGACTACTTCAAAACAGCACATAAATGTCTTTTTTTCCCCCCATACTAAAAATCTGTCTGCCAAAATGAAAAGGAATAATTAGCGGCTAAATACAAATCCATGTTCTCTATCTTTTAAATGACATATCTCCAAGGTACAAAGCAGCATGTCTGGTTGAAGGCTGGGTGATTCGATCCCTCTATTATTCTATATGAAACAAAGAATCTGTAGTTGAATTACCCTTAAATTGTCTGGCAGTAGGCGAAGTTAACTTTTATCAGAAGCTGTTCTTTCATATTATACAGTGTAGTCAAGGATATATTAGTTTTGACGTTTTGTTACATCTCAATACACTGTGGAGTGAATTTACTGTGAGACTAATTTAGAAGGGAGCTTTTCATAGGAGGAAATAATGGTCAGCATCAGCTGTGCCTCAAATTATAAGCAGGATAAACATTCAGGGGAAAATGGACATTCACATAAAATTGCTAGGTGTTAATAAGAATGCTTCCTATATTTATTATATTCCTGAGGGTATTCTGTGTCTCTTAGAACTCCAGTTTCTTAAAACACGATTCAGGAGGAATATTTTATTGTTGAGGAAACGTTATAGTACCTCCTAACATGATTATTTTGTCTCAAAGAAAGAAAAAAACCCCATCAGATTAAACAGTATACAAAAGGTATTTTTAGAGTTCAGCTTTGGGGGAAATAACCTATAATTTAAGCATTTAAAACACAGTTTAAAGATGATTGATTTGACTGACGCACAATAAAGTCATTATAAAGTGAATTCTCCATACATGAAATTTAATTTCACCTATAGGATTCATCACTCATCACAGAAGTTTTATTACATTCTGGTACCAGGTGCCATTCTCTCACTTTTTTGTCATCTTTTCTAATAAGATCACACTGGTCAGCTGACATTTTGAAACACCAATTAAACATCTAATCGGTAAATGAAATCGGTAAATGCCAAATAAAGAGAAAAACAAATGTATCAAAGAGATAAGTGTAGTACTTTAGCTTCAATAACTTGGAATGTACATATATCACAGAGGGATGTTTCAGCTGCTAAACTAATAAAACCCAGTCAATCAAATAGTAAAAGATATCAAGAAGCAGCAACAGGAAGTGCTGTAAGACAAGCACCCAATGGAGACACAGCACAGAAAACCCGTCAGTTTACTCATTCACTTCCTTATCTGTTCTTATAGGTATAGCAGTGGAACATTTTTTTTCTTTGCATTTATCTTTGTGCCTGAATGAGTTCAATTTCACTTAGATTAGGACAGAAACTTCAGAACAGCCAGTTAATCCATCCTGTCTTCATGGGCAACTAAGCAAACAGACGAATATCAGCGTAAAATTGTAATTCTGGAGATTAATGTTGTTTTCCCTGTTTGCTGTGAACTTGACCTCCATGCCTTTTCTTTTTCCTTTTCCAGCTTCTGTCCAGGGTCCCTGGGAGAGAGCCATCTCGCCAAATAAAGTGCCCTACTATATCAAGTAAGTTGGAAACGTGACATTCTTTAAGGAGCATTTATTGTGGCTGATCTGTATATTCACAAATGAATTTGTTTCTAAAACGTGACATTAGCCTGCCTTACAATTCCTGGTTCTTTCTTCCCCAAGGAAGCTCAGATAATCAACTCACGCTTAAATCACCACTGAAAATTTGCTGATGCAATAGGGAGCTGCCTTTAGGAAAAATCCATGTAACGAAGCGTATATGTTGTGTTTTGTGATCAGAGGAGATGTGGATTTTTTCACACTAGAACAAAAAGCTGCACGTAATATCACTGGGTAGTGGAAGTGAATATTTACAAGAACAATTTAATATATTGAGGGGTTTTCCCACATTTCTTCTTCAGACAAAGATGGACGACTTCTGCAGCTTTATGTACACAAACTGTTTTAGGTGAATAAATACTTCATGAACCCAAAAGGCAGGGAGCAGCAATCCTGGATTTGTGGAGCTGAGGCGTTCAATATATAGCACTCAGCATTTTTCACATAACAACAGAATGATACTGTTTTCTGGGGCCATTTGTGTCAGTCAAAGGAATACAGGTGCTTAGAAGCACCTGCGGCATGCCATATGAAATACAAATTATGATACATTGGGTCGACATGGAAGAGAGAGGCTAGGGGATGTTGAGTTATTATGATACTTTAACAGTTTCTCATCAATTATGTGAGTCCAACTTAAATTTAACTTTGAATCGGCTACCTCAACAATTAAAATTAATCGGATTCATGAAATAGTCTTCAATACCAACTAAAGTCTTTAAACTCGCTTCTGCCATGAGTCTGACTCAAAATATTAAATGTTTGTCCATTTTTTTGGCCTGCCATCTTTTATCAAGTCTGTTTTTATTCTTCCACTGCCCATCAATTCTTCATAATTTAGTTCTAAAGCAGTAACAGCAGTCTTAGATCTTCATTACTACAGTTCTCAAGAAATTTGATTTCATGCCTCAATTTTGTTAACTCAGAAGAATGGGGGTGAGGGGACTCTTTCGGCTCTTCAAGGAGAGACACATCCTTTAGGAAAAGTTTCTCTTATTAAATTTTTCCAGACAAGATACCTCTTAACTTTAAAAATTCTCCTTTAATATGCTTTGATCCTGCTTTTTAATTTTCTTATTTTTAAATTTTCTTATTTTTGTTATATGTAATTATCAATTTAGTCAGTCTAAATATTTTAAATATCTATTTTAAATCACCCATTTTATTAAAGAATATATTGATTTATGCATGCACTGTATTGCATGCATCTGCTATATATTTTATGGAACCATTTTATTCAAACTTTCCCCAGACATCTTCTACATCAATGTCTTCAATCATGACAAATTTTCATTTCTGATTAAGATGTTTGAGACCTGCAACTGCAACCCATTTATAAAGCACTCACTTTATCCAATCTTTATGAGCTGAAATAAAGATTCTTGTGGCCAAGCTTTTAGGACCACCTGAGAATCTATGACATCTTTAAGTCATTCTTCTCCAAATGATTACTCGTTTGGGGTTCATTAAAGGTTTCCTGGAGGTTCCCAGAGTCATCCCGTGCCCCTCCCCTCCCCCTAGTCCTACCGTCCTTTCCTTAAATCCTTAAATATTTGTCTTCTCCTTGATGTTACACCTACCACAAAAGATTTCAGTGACTTGCTGGGGGGGAAGTGAAAATAAATTCAGACCAAAAAAAAAGGCAGGATATGAATTCCAGAAAAGCTGTCCTCCCCCCTGTAAATTAATCTCTTGCTGTTCCTCTGTGTAATCAGCAGCTACTCTCTACTTGTCCTCCTGTTGGTCTAGGGCTCCTTCACCAATTTGAAGATCATAGTTGCAGTATTGGTAAGGGCACAGAGCTGGGAAAAAGAAGACTTGATTTTTAGTCCTGGCTCTGTTATTAGTTGATTGTGTGGCCTTGAGCAAGTCACTTAACCTATGCAAACCTTGGTTTCTCATTTATAAAATAAAGGAGTTTGACTAGATAATATCTAAGGTCCTTTTTAGCTCACAGAATCAATGCCTCATTGCATTGTCTTGTCCAAAGTAAAAAACCTAAGACCTCAAATTTTTTTCAAAATTATCTTCATTTTTAAAATTCTTTATTTTAACTATTAACATAATACAAATTCTCAGTTTAAAAGAAAACATAGGCATTCTATTTTTCCCCTGTTTAATTAGCTTCAGATATGACCTCTCAACCTACTCCAATTTCACCAGGCACCTATTCAAAGAGCTCAAATCTTGGTGTATAATTTAGGACTATTATTCTTCCTAGTTTAATAGTAAGAGACATAAAACAATAGACAGGAAAAATTAATAGAAAGGTGAGTATGAAGACCTTAAAAGCCTCTGAAGTGATCAATTCCTTGGAATGAGGAATTACATTATTTCCCAAAGAGATCTCTGAAACTTTATGGTAATCAATTCGCTCTATATTTTAATCTATTTGAAAATAGGGGTAATATAACTTCTCAAATATACATCTAAACTATTAAGGTGGAATATAGGGAGAACACATGTTCAGAAAATGTACATTGAATAGAGTATTAATGTCATTTGTGATTTATTATCCCACATTACTGTTGTCTAAGATATTCTATTAATAGCACATTACTTTGATGTACAAGGTTCAGTAGACTTCATGCACTGGCAAATGCCATGCATAATTTGAGATGCCTTGTTGGTCCACAAATAACAATAATGATAAATTTATAACAACATTTCAACCAGTCCCCATTTTTCCTCTTTCTCATCTCATCTGTCTTGCCTTACATTCAAAACTTTGTACGACACACTTCCAGCTGTAAAAGCATGTGTCTTTTCTGGACTTTTTTTTTTTTTAAGATTTTATTGGGAAATTGGGGGAGGGGAATAGCGCTGGGGAATTGGGGAAGGGGAACAGACAAGTTGCTGTCCTTTTTGTTCTTCAGTCTATTGTGGAGGACGTTGCTTCACTGGCCCATGTTGGTATGATCATTGCACTCTTCCCAGGTGAGGCAGATTGGTCGCTGGCCACTGGACAGCTACTCACAGTGGCTCTCGTCAGCTGCCGGCCACTCACGCTGGCTGCTGGCCACTCATGATAGCTTACGGCAGCCCACTGCAGCCCCACTGCAGCCTACGCCATCACTGGCAACTCACGGCAGCCCAGCTCCAGGTCAAGCTGTTGTTCACCATCTTAGCTGTAGAGGGCGCAGTGTCACTGGCCCATGTGGGATCCAAACCATCGGCCCTGCTGCTCAGAGCTCATGCTCCCAAGCCAACTCTTAACCAACAAGCCACTCGAGCCAGCCCTCTGGACTTTTTTTAATGCTTTGTAATTTTCTCCTTTTCAATGCTGGGATAAACTGATCATCTAAATAACAAGAGGTTTCCACACCAGTAGCACAGTTCCAGTTAGCTTTTGAGTTGTGCACTCGTGGTTGAGGTTGTAAGTCATTCACAACATCTTCTACTCTAGGTTGCAAATCAGACAGTGTTTATGCCTGCGTCCTGACACCAGCTTTCCATATGATGCTAAGAACCTTGATTTTGATACTTCAGACTACATGTTTGTCTAGTTTATTAGTCAATCGCATACATCATTGTTGTAGTTTTCATATTCCGTCTCCCTTGGGGCTCTTTTATTCCTGCCAGCATCTCTTTCAGGTTATCTGATTACAGCTTTCATTGCCACTGAAAAAATAATCACCAACAATGTTCAACCTGTTATAACTGCCTTTTCCACTCTCTGCCATTTTGTAGGTTTTTGGCCTACTGTCAAACTCATGAAAATTTCAATATAATAGCCTTTAACCAGCTGCTGCATTCTGTTAGGAGTTCTTTCACCTTTTTATGTTGCATACTCCCATATGGGTAAACCAAATGGAGCCAAGAGCTGGGACGCTCTCGCTTTCTTAATCAGTTAGGAAATTACTCTTCTGTATTCTGGACTGTCAAAAGAATTTAGGAATCTAAGCTTGCATGCAGGATGTTCCTGCGTAGATGACATAATAAGAGCATAAGAAATAGCACACTGGGTTGGAGTGACAGGGCAACTAGCCCAGAACTCTGTCCCAGGTGCAGGCACCAATGGCTGTTTTGTCAGTTAACCTAGTGATTTTCATTTTAAAAATTAGGATGCCTGTAAATCAGTTGGCACTGAGTGTATCCAATGATTTCTTCAAATTTTCCCATTTCTCCATTTCAGCCTTGTCTTAGGTATATAAGTTCTATAAGTTGACTGATTTCTCTATAAATACATAGAGGTATATTTCAGTCTCTCTTTAATCTACATCCTTTAATCTCAAGGAATGGCCCCAATTAAGTGCTATGGAATTCGGTGAATACAATTTTGTGTACCCAAAGTAGATTGTAATCTCACATCCCCTCAGTTACTAACCCCTTTTCATTTTCATCTTCCCAGTCTGAGAAATTCTAATCTTTTTTAGGCTTTTAGTCTGTCCTTGAATGAAAGGTAAGCTTTCTCCTTGATCATCTTAGTTGCTCATCCTGGATCTTTTCCAGCTGTTATATCTTCCTTGGGATGTTGTGATTGGAATGGCCCAAATACTGGTTATTAAATTTGTTAGCATTGTTTCTACTCTCCACTCACTCATGAAGAAAGTAAATGCTATTTGTTGTCTCTCATTAGTGCAGAAATGGAGAAACCAATTGAGGTCATAACCTGTTCTACCTACATTAGTTCTAGCTCAAGGTTGGCTTGCTGCTACTTTTCTGTCATACCAGCTGAAGTGTTTGACCTTATATTTCTGTCTGTTGTCCCTTACAAAGGATTTGATTTTTAGAGAAGCGAGTCCTTCCCTCCTTTAGAGACACTGCATTTGCCAAATATTGGGAGGCATTCACTAATGAAACTCAGTAGTAAACCTGCTGACTCAATCACCAGTAATGCATTTCATCAGGTTCCCTTTCTAAATATCTCTGAAGCACTTCACGGAGAGTGAAAAATGGAGTCCTGGGGAAGATGCTCACTGTTCAGCTTTTTACAT